CATATACTTAACTAAAACAATTTGTCTCTTTTTTGTCTTCAATAATGGAGAATATCCTGTCACGCAATAGTTTGACGTTGAAATGAAGTAAAACTGGCGTTTCCTGTCAATTCAATTTGACATGATATTCCACTTAATTATACTTAACTATATGTTTTTTATTCAAAAAATATTTGAGTTAAGCTTTAACCAAATAGTAGATGAAAGAGGCTTTTTATGCACTGAGCCAGAAATAAGGTATAAGAAGTCATTTTCTGCTCAATTAGCCTATAAGTCGAGCAGGTGGTTATGTGCTCGACTCTTCTATGGTAAGACCAGCGAGTTCTGAGAAAACCAACTTTCACTTCATGTTTCCATTACCTTCTCCATCCTTCATTTTCAATCCTTCATACTGTTATTCGTAATAATCTATACGATATAACATTCAAATGTTATTTTTTGATTGTTTTTCCAATAGGTTCTGACACCTTAGGCCAACTGTCACAAACCCATCATCTCATTTGCATAATTACTATTCTGCCACAACCTATCTCACCTCTTTCGAGCCTTTTTTAGATAATATTTTATTCAATCAACCTATATGCCAGATGGAATATAGTAAGAAAGAGAATTGTTGATGGATTATATTAAAAGAAGGATGAGCTCCACCTTAAATCTTATTTTTATTCCTCTTTTATATTCAATTTAAGCTTTTCATCAACTAATTCACTTCAGATCTTTTTTTTTTTGGTTCCATCTCTTGGACCCAATTAATGGTTAATTTGAAACAAAATTGCTTTTAAAGTCATCGTTTGCTTCTGTCTTTTCGAAGAAAAGAGTTTGATAACGAGTAACCCACAGAGGGAGAGAGCGACAGAGGAAGAGAAAGGAAAAGAGAGATTTGCCATTGTAGAGAGAGAGAGGAAGAGAGAGAAGAACGATAAAAAGAAAGAAAGGAAATTTGTGCAACTTTATAATTTATCTCATGAATTATTCTCATATTGACCATTCATTCAGTTTTGTACGATCTCTTAGGCTTAACTTACATTTGAGGACATGTCTGAAAACTTTCCCTCAAATCTTATTGTCTATCTCTCTTTCTCATTTTCTCTTTACATTTCTCACTCTCTCTCTATACATTTCTCTAATATCTTGACCAGCATGTGTACGTATTGGTTAAGCCTATCCAAAGCGTCACAGCACTTCACATATTATATCCATCTGCAAATAGAATCTCACGTCGAGCACGTACTGTCCATTTCTTATGAACAGATGTTTCATGCCATCGGATGCGCTTTTCATGTGCATTTTCATTTACATCATCATCCTTCTAAGAAGTTCCGTTTGAAAACATTTTTTGATCTGTCTTGGCGCTCAGCCAAATACCTAGTTTAGTCCTTGAACCATCTAATTGATTTTTCTTTCACATAATATAAGTCAATAATTCATTTTTGTAATCGTCTTTAACTATACGTATAAATTGCCTTTTTCCTTTCATCTTCTCATCCATGTAAGTACTTACAAACTCGTCTTTCCTTGTTTTTTATTACTTTTTATGGAAGATTATGTCAAATTGTCGTAAAGGCTGCTTCAGTTTGCTTTTTCAGTTCTCTTTTCTGGCTTCACGGATTTACCTAAACCATCATGAAAATGTGAGAAATAACATCAAGCGTTTTCATTTTTAACTGATTGGACACATAGAGCGGTTGAATCACATTCCTCTTCTACGCTTCTCTCTCTGCTTCTCCAAATCTCTCTATTCGTTTTTTGGTTTTTCTTTCTCTTAACCTTATTTCCACTCCCCCCCTCTTTACACATGTCTTTCTCTCCTTTTTTATCTGTTAAACAGATTTTGGCTGTGTCCTGCCTCTACCGCATTCCAGCTGATGTATTGAATTGTATTTACTTAATCTGAGGGAGGCCACCACCACCACCAGAAGATACATGAGCCTAAATCCGCTGCTGTTGTCCTTTCTGATTCCACTCCACTTCTTATCCGTTGTCCAATTTATTAATCCCTCTCTCTAATTTCATTGATTAACCTCCTCACCTTGTACTCATCTCAAAGCACCTGCGATCCAGATGCATCTGATAGTCGCTTTTCATCTGAGCTTCTTCTTGTTTTTTTGATGCTGAAATCTTGATGAATCAATGTTTGCTTGTCTTCTTATCTCATTATTTCTAAGCATTGATACAACGATAAGTGCATGGAAGCATTGTTTCTCTTCATATATAGATTTTATGTTTTTGAGCTTCCTCATCGTCAAGCCTATCCTACTAGTATATCCATGAATCCATTTAATTCCCATAAAAAAACTAAATTCCTTTGTTGTTCAAAATAAGTCGTGTTAACATCTCATCTTCTCTCAATTTATTTCATTTCTTTGTTTGTGATTAGATAGTTTGACAAGATTTTATTTGAAAATCTTTATTCAAGTGGAGGTAACCTGATTGATTTGTATTGAAACTGGAGACATAAGCCACTTCTAAAAAAAAGCTTAGATGTTCTTGACAGAATCCATATGTTGTCATTTGCATATCTAATTACCTTCTCCCTTACTCCTTCTCTCTTTTTTCTCTCTCTCTCCTCCCCTACATCTCTCTCTCTCTCTCTGTTAGATCCTTGTTCATGACTCTTGTTTAGTTTACTAATAATAATAAGAACTCCTTAAACAGTTCTAAAATGCCATTAGCAATTAGACTACCTAATTTTCGTCTAATCAACAATTGCTCTTGTAAAATGTAATTGTCGGCTTGTGTGAAAGTAGTTGTAAGAGCTTCTTATATCTATGAGTCTAATCTTTGCAATCGAAATTCTGTTATTATAATGAATATTGGTCCTTTTGGTCATCAAACCTGCACACCTGGATTTTTCTCACTTAGTCCTTAGCTCATCATACTCAATCAGCTTAGATCTTTTATTACAGTCACCCCATATTGTTTATAAGTGGATCGGCTTTTTTCTTTCATTTTTTTCAATAACATCTCACTCAAGTAGTCGGTATTGTATCCTTCAAGATGAGCTCGATGAGGTGTCAGTCACATTGCTTTTCTTTCATTTATGTTCCCACTCATTGACTTTCATGGAAAGAAAAAGAAAACAACCCAAACAGTTTCCTCAGAGGTTACTTTGTTTTCCTTCCCAATCACTATTCATTCTCTCATCTCTTTAATATTCAAAACATTTATGCTAATTGCGCGAGACAACCAAACTAGTAAACAACCCACGTACTTTACGTGAACTCAAAAAACCTCATATTGTTAGCAATTGACTCACCGCGCGGTTGGTTTCAAAACTCCCTCTCACCTTCCCCCACCCAACAATATTTTACTTATTCATAAGGTTAGTTAAATAATATTATTCTTATTACTATACTTACTATACTTTCTTCTCCTTTTTTTTGTTCTCGTTGATGATCCGGGCCGATAACAATCAAACGAATAAATTCACATCCAAAAAAGGGAAACGAGAATGGCCAATACCATTTTCTCTTTCAATCTTTTACGAATGGCGGTATGAATTACTTTTATTTTTTTCTCTTTCGCTCATTCACACCCTCATTACCTTTTGGTGGTTGAGATCAGACTGAACAGATCCGTTTGACTTGATTTTTCTGTGACGATCTGTGTTTTGCCGCTCATTACGCAGTCATCTGTGAATGACACCTTTGCTCCTCTCTACCTAGACTCTCTCACTCTCTATCTCACGTTATCTTTCATTTTCTCTCTCAGCCTCTCTCTCGCAATCTCTTCTTGTTTCCTGTATAACACCAATGTCAATGTAACTTTTGACTTATCCATGCCATCATCATACACCACATAGTACAATCAATTACATCAACCCGTTTCTCTTTCAACTCATCCTTCTCAAATATTCGTTTTTTTTCTATTTAAGCAATTCAGTACACCTTTTGTTATGTTTTTTACAGACAGCTCTCTGAGTTCTTATTATTTTACCTTGTATCACCGTTCAGCTCCTTTGGCCATAAAAGGGCGGAGCCTGACCTCATGCAGCCACGCCTTGTTTTCCGCCAACATGAGCTCCTCATCTCTCAATCCTAATATTCAACGTTCATATGCCGAATATTTCATGAATTCATGTGTCAAATTGATCAGCAAACATATCATCTTCCTTAATTATCTATTTCAAGTTCTTATAATCAAAAATTGAAATCTAATTGAAATGGAGATTAGTTGAAGAAAGATAAGAAGTGAATTTCATCATAATTCATTTTAATCGTTTACATGAAAATTTAGTTCAATTTCGCTGTCAACACTTGATTTTCAGTTCATATTCTCATAATTATAAACATTTATTCTTTCTATCTCTTCATTCATTCATTCATTCACTCATGTTGTTCACACTTTCCTTCATTTCATACATTCAAAATAGTTCTGGGGTCATTTACACAATCGACAGATAGTAGGATAGCTTCTGGTCATTTTTACTTTTCACACTTTTTTCTAATATAAGCTTATACCATTGTGAGATATAATCCCATCAATATTGTCGATCATATTGCTTCCTATCTACTTTCTATCATTCGCCCTCCCTCTCACTCTCTATATATGCATTCATGAATGTTTTTGTAAACTATTACTTTGCTCATTCAGTTGACTTGTACCGCTACCTCATTTCATATAGCTGGACATGAGACTCATCTTTCTTCTTCTTCATCATCATCTTCTTCTTCTTCTTCTTCTTCTTATATTTTTACTTTATCTTATTTATCATTTACTCATTTTGAGCGTCTTAATTAGTGCCTACGGCAACTAGCATCATTCTCGTATATGAAAAAGCCTCGTTCAAAAGCTATAATGCCCCGAGGGAGTTGAGCAACATTCAGCCAGCTATAGAAGTTTTCTTAATTTCAAAATTAACTGTTCGTCTGTTCGTCGTTATTCATTGTATAATAGTTTTCTTCTTCTCATTTTTGTATATCAACCTATACATTTGATGATAACATGATCGTTGCAGATTAGTGGCTGATAGATTTGGCTAACCAAATGCTTACAAGTCAATGTGGACAATAAATTTAGTTTTTGTTTTATTATTTTGTCTGAAGCAGACATCCGCAGCTTCATGTCCACAAAGGTAATTGCTTTTCATAATTATTTTCGAATTTAATTTTCATATCTTTCAGCTGTGATTGTGTTTCCGATCCAGCATTGCCATCATCACAATTAGTTATTTGTAACTGGACAACTAATACCCGCAATGTTACAATTGATGTTGAGAATGTTCGAAGCATCCAGATAACATGCAATAATGAAAATAATAATTCCATTCCGGATACCGTATTTGCTCAACCAAGTAGCATTCAGCATTTATCAATTGAGGTATGCCATCATCATTTTAATATCTTTTTTTTCTCTTTTTTATTGTTTTTCCCAAAACATTTTTCTCAGCAACTTCCTTCCGCATCTTCCCATTATTAACAATTGTGTGTCAAATGATGGGCAAATATGATAACAAGTAATTCTTTTATTTAACCCCGATTTACTTACTTACTCGACCTAACTATGGGCATGTAGTTAACGGATTAATCGAGCTAAGTTGCTATAGACAATGATTGTCGATGTTATCTTAACCATCTTATCCTTGTTAACTTGCTAATGCCATATTTCTGAATACGCAATAGGTTTATATGATCTGCTTGTCACTATATACATATATGGCAGCAAGCTCGCTAATGCATTATATCTTTTGTTCTCATATCCTGCTCATATTGTGATGATGGAAAGATTGAAGATAAATATCCATACAGAGCAGGATGGGACTTTGCGTGACCAGACGTGTAACCTGCTTCCGTTGCACATTGCGCAATCTCATTTACATGGCTTTTTTTCCATTGCAAATTAAAGGTAAATGACATTAGGAGAGAACACGATGAGAAATAGAATATAATAGAACAATGATGAGACTGATCAAGTATCTTCACATTGACCACTCGAATCGATATTCTAATTCCTTCCATACATGCTCCTTATTATTTCGAATATCATTTATTTATTCAGAAATTAATGTCATAACCATTTATCTTAACAAATGGCGGTATAGAAAAGGTAAAAGAACGATAAGCTTTTTGTTTTTTCGCCAGCTTATCATCACCTGCTTGTTATTGATATAAGCTAGTTAACCATAGAAAGAAACATAGTATGTTATCTCTGAAGACTCGTAAACCTTTTTTTTCTGTTGTCATCTGAAATAACTTAGGATCTGTACATCTGCGTAATAATTCTTCTTCAAAACCATATACACATATGGTCATCGTAAAAAAATGAAGAAAAGAAGAGAGAAAACATAAAAATTTATTTTCTTTTCTTATAATATTATGATGTTGTTGGAGCATTATAATGGCAGCAAGATAGGTTGTTCTTGTTCTGCCTACACTTTTTGTATTAATTTTCTCATCTGCTGCATGTCACTCTTGTCAATGACGTAATAACGCTTGTAAACATGACCATTCATGCTTATTTATTTTTTATGAGATAAGTTTTATGCTAATTTATGCCATAGGTTGAAGTGGCAAGAAGGAAAGATTCTGTTGATTCAACTATCTCATATATCATATAATAGATTCTTGAAAATTAATTATATTTTATATAGCATGGTTAGAATAATTATGCTGCTACATATATAGTAATGATGAGAAATGAATGGGATGTGACAGATATTTTTTGACCTTAAACGATTAAATTTGGGATCTGAGAAAATTGTATCCGATTAGATAGTAGTATGAAGTATGATGATGATTGAGAGGTTAAGCTTTAAAGAGCTTCTCATATAACGTCTGTCACATACTTAACCATTTTTCATAATCCTCACTTAAACTGAATCGTGTATGGATATCATTTATGAAAAATACATTGTAGTGACGGTCATCTGTCCTTCTGTTGTTTTGTGCTCATCATAAAACTTATTATAAGTGACATTATAATAATGGTCAACACTTGATTTCCTATTCATGTTTTAAATATTCTATTCATTATGATTCTTTTTTCAGGGATGCGATTTGATGAATCCAGTCAGAATGTTTCAAGGCTTATCCGACTTACGCTCTCTACGTCTAGAGAGAGTCAGCCAGAACGGTCGATCAGTATTGTCCTTAACTGACGGAAGTTTCGAGTCACTCAGCCGTTTGGAGAAAGTAAAGATTGTTGGAAGTCGACTCCAGCGTTTACCATCTGACTTCTTTTGTCATCTGAAGAATCTTCAGGTAGGCTCACAACTTGTTTTCGAAAGCTGAGTGGGTGAAGAAATGTGATTATGAGGCTTCACTATTATGCTTCAATGAATCACTTGTACATGAATGCAATGTTAACGGTCAAAAGCTTTGCAGAATCTTTGTAAGATTTTATGAAAGCTTTCATAATTAATTATGCAGCTTATTGGATGTATTGAGGAGAAATAGACGAGCCGGCTGTTGGACGTGGTTATTCGTCCACTTGTACATCCGACATAGATGGAGTACAATAAAGAAAAGAGAGATAGTAGAGTGTAAGAGAGAGGGAGATGAGATGTTCCTGTCGTTTTATTCTGTTAGGCCTGCATTCTCAGCCAACCAATTGCCGTAGGGTCTCAATAGCTTCATCTAACATCTGGCTTCTGTCCTTTCTTATGTTATTCCTCTTCTTTCTCCTAATGTTATGACTTGAACAAGACAGTTTGTCGTCAAGCCAGCTCCGGAAATGCTCATTGAATTGAATATAAAAGAACGATATGGAAGCCATAAAACTGGTTATAAGACCAAATATGTATGTGAAACGGTTGTGATTCGTCTACACAGCTGCTGTGAAATCAGTAACATTTAATTGAACTTCTGGTATATGCGCTGTATATTCTAAAAAATAATGAATACAGTTAGCTATGAGAGACGGAACGATTTCAATTAAATGGCTCCGTGGCAATTGGTCTGCGCCCAATTTTCCAGTTGACTTGAGCAAAAACAATGAGACCTCAAAACACACAAGGTTTCGAACAGTATTCTAGCACTCGGGTTTCTTTCATAGTTTGTTTACCTGTTTGGTATCGTCTTTTGATTAATATAGACACGAGCTTGAAATGTGGGAACCAATCGAAGCGTATAATGTCGTTCGATTGTTCCATGTTTTTCGAAAACTAACTGTTTCATCAATGTTTTTAGAACCCAAAAGAAAGATGAAGAGAAAGATAAAAGAGATCCTGAAACTCGGGCAACGGGGATTAACGAACAGCACGAAAGCCAATTAGTCTTTACGTCTACCAACATGCGCGAAACGATATGTCGGCTAATCCTTGTACTACTTGATTATCCTACCTAACGCTGACTTAATTAACCTTTTGTAAAGCCGAACATGCATCATATTCGTTCATCATTCACCAGTAAATATGAATATATAAGAAATTATGAATATGATGGAACAACATTAAAACTTTTTATTTCAGGTACTCAATGTTTCCAGTAATGCTTTGACATCTCTGAAACAAGAAAAAGGTTGTGTAGCTAGTCAGCTTATAATTGCTGATATATCTCATAATAACTTGAATAAGATTCATGAATATTTACACACCTTCCCAATGCTTCGACAGCTTTTCGTGTCGTACAACAAGCTGATGACTCTGCCAACGTCTTCTTTCGAATCCGTTGTTCATTTGCAACTGCTAGATATGGAACATAATATGCTGAGCACAATAGAAGACTTGCCCGACTCACTAATTCATTTGAACATCGCTCAAAATCAGTTCAAACTACTACCAGAAGCTGTACGGGAACTCCCTTTGTTGGTTTCCTTGAATGTATCAAGAAATAGTCTTAGTGATTCTGTTGCTGAAAATCCTCATGGTATGTTATATTCTCTCAAGCACAATTTTAATTCTAATTTTTAGTTTCACCTATCTTGGAATCGGTCGATATGAGTCACAATGACTTGAGGAATATTCCGGTGTATTTCTTCGTCAACTCAATGTCGAGCTTGAACCATCTCCATTTGGAGTTCAATAGGATCGATCAAATACCTCCCACGGCATTAGTGAACTGTTCATCTCTCTTAACGGTTAGTTTTCGATTTGTTTTAAATGCGTTACCCGCTGTTCCACACCCTTCATGTATGGGAGTTTAAAAGCAGAAAGGCCATATCAACCACTCATAAAAACATGTCAACGCTTCGTTTAAAAGTTAAAATATGCAAGGTTGTCATGAACTTTTTCTTCTTCTTGTTGACAGTAGGTGGCAGTAATATCTTCTTCCATTTTGGTTGTGTTTACAATCGACGATTGCTCTCATCACTTCTAACAGCAACAGCCTTCATAGGCCTGCTGTGTTCTGGTAATTTCCATTTTGCCCAGCCTACCGAAACTGTCCTTGAGCTTTGTGAATGAGGAGAGTCTTGAAGATGAATACAGCCACAACAGAGTCATATATCAAACACCTTTGTACTCATACAAGTTCATTTACCTTGTATATCTTGAATTAAGTGGTCCGTTTATTGAGGGGAGAAAGTGTGAAGAGTTCTTGAAAACTGAATCCATGATTATGGGGGGGAAGGAAGAAGAGGAGATAGTTTACTTCTAGTTTTCTCTACAATCTTCTTCTTAAGTTCATTCAATCTATTGTTAATGATTCTCAATAAGTATTTACTCTGAAATATGAAAGAAATCCCAACTCTTATTGAGCATTATGAAAAAAGCAAGAGGTTATACCTTTGTGCTCTTTAACAAAGGTCAAGATGATGGAGTCAAGTAATGAGCTCAAGACAATCTAACCTGCAATTACTCTCAGTTATCCACACACTGTCCAAACAGCTCTTCATAATAGATAATCATTCATTTTCAACTAATAAGAGGGAAATATAAAAATCTTTTTTTCAGTTGAATCTCGCGAATAACGACCTCCGCGTACTGAAGGATGACATATTCTCTGGTCTGCAGAAGCTTAACAGTCTGCATTTGCAAGGAAATGCCCTAGATACGATTGAACAATCCGTTTTTGTAGACTTGAGCATTGGTTTGTTACCTTCTACGTTTCAATTTACTAATCTTTCTATTTCAGATGAATTGAATTTGTCAGGCAATCGTTTTACCGAAGCTCCTCATGCTTTAGGAAGGCTCTACCGTTTGAAGAAGTTAGACTTGAGCTTGAACAAAATCAGCAAGCTCTATCAATTTGTTTTCAACAAGATTCCACATCTTCAAGTTGTCAATATCAGTCATAATGAGCTCCAATCTGTTGGCCCATACGTGTTCTCCGACAGTGAACATTTGGCGCAATTGGATTTGTCACACAATCAGATCTCTCTTATTTTCCGGGACTCACTCTCCAAATGCTCACAACTTCGCCGTCTTAATCTGAGTCATAACCGATTGAACACCTACGATGATGCTTTCACTGTTATCCCTTCCTTACGGCATCTGGATATCTCTTTCAATCGTTTAACTTCTCTGATTTGGACAACGTTGCCCACTAAACTGGAACACCTTACTGCATCATACAATTCTATTCAACAATTGAGCACAACTGAGGGAAATATCAACACAAAGTTGCAAGTTGTCAACCTCGCAGGCAATCAACTGACTGACATTTATGGGGGAGCTCTACCACAGACCTTGGAAGAGCTCGATGTTAGTAATAATCGTTTGGAAGAAATCGCTGGTGGCAGCTTCAGCAGATTAGCTCAACTTCGTCGTGTTGATTTATCCAAGAATCGTCTGAAAGTTGTGAGCCGCGATGCTGTTCAAGTTCTCGATGGAGTTCAGACAGTTGAAATCGATCTCCAATCAAATCCACTCTTATGTAGCTGCGAAATGGATTGGATCATTCCTGCTTCTCGCAACTCCGGAACTGTTTCCAATTCAGTAAAGCGCCGTTTGTCCATTCGTAATCCAAAGAATACGACATGCCAACATGTTTACCAGAAACGAAAGATTCGTGTTCCTAAGCTCTCAGAGTCAGATTTGCTTTGCGATTATGACCAGGTTAGTTAACAGCATTCATCAAATAATATTTATACTTGTTTAGGTGTGCGAACCAGACTGTGTATGTTGTGAATATGGAAATTGCGATTGCAAAGCAGTTTGTCCTGATGGATGTAATTGCTTCAGAGATGCAGTTTTTAAACGGAATATAATTAGATGTGATGGAAAACAAGACAAGGTAATTGATCCGTCAAATCCTCTTTTTTTAACTCCGAATTCCAGCCTTTCCATCCATCCGAGGTTCCTATGTCATCAACACATGTGTACTTGACTGGAATGAACTTATCTGTCATCGATTCTCACACATTCCTTGGAAGAAAACGATTGGAGCAACTCCATATCAATGGATCGAATGTTCAGCAAATCAATTCGAAAGCTTTTAATACATTACCATCTCTGAAGCTTGTTGATTTATCGGATAATCAAATAACTCAAATAACAGGAGAGGAGTTTCATAAAACAGCAGCATTGTCTCATCTGTTCCTGAACGGTAATCGCCTCACATCTATTGAGAAGCCTTTATTAGAGAAGCTACCTGCTCTGCAATCAGTGAGTATACAAGTTCAAAACATTAAACTAAATCATTTTTTTGCAGCTAACATTGCATAAGAACCAAATGATAGACCTCTCTCCAGCCTTAATGGCTTCGAAGGTACTCTCGGTCAGCCTGGGTCTCAATCCATTCCGATGCGATTGCTCCGAAAGGTTCACAGCTCCTCATTGGATTCATGCCAATCAAGGTCGTGTTGTTGACATTGATAGAGTTCTCTGTGTGGAAAATGTCACAAAAGCTTTTGGAGACAATGATACAACAATCTTGTCTGCTTTCCCACCCAACGAAGGACATGATATCTACTCCATGTCTATGATCGGTAATAGTTTCTCGTGCCTTGCTTAATTCAAATACATCTCTTCAGAGTTTTTCCGCGATTTCAATCGCACGATCTGTGTTCCTATCACTCATGGATTCTTCGGACAGGAGCCTCAAAATTCTATTCTGATTTCCTTCTTAATCGTTGGCTGCCTCATCTTGTTATGTGCCGTGCTTTTGGTCGTCTCGACTATTCGTAAAACACATTCGGCAATTAATCAGAGGAGATACAAAGCTTCATCTTCCTTAAACTGTTCATCAACCGCTGGAAGTTCGCCTTTGCCGCAACCTCTTCTCAATTATGATGCTTTTGTTTCTTACTCAAAGAGTGATGAAAAGCTGGTTCTGGACAAAGTCTGCAGGTAAAATCAAAAGAATTTTATAGATACTTATCTTTTCTCTTTCAGAAGGTTAGAAGATGCTGAGTTTTCTTTACGTCTTCTACATCGCGATGGTCCTACCTATAATCATCGTGTGCACTCCATTAGTGATGAATTGATTTCTCAAATGGACGCGTCTCAATCTCTCATTCTTGTATTAACCAGGAACTTCCTCGAGAACGAGTGGAAAACGCTGCAAATCAAAACATCTCATCAGCTGTTCGCTAAAAATCGCAACAAGAAGCTCATTGCTGTATTCATCGATGATGACGTCGACCAAAATCTTCTGGATGATGAGTTAGGACAGATGCTCCGTAAAAATACATGCCTTCGTCTCTCTGATCCACTTTTCTGGACTTTATTACGGACTGCTTTACCTTCTCGAGTCTCGCCTCCTCCGTCGGACTCTTCTGAAGTCTATTCTGATTTGTACGGAATTGTCCCTTCTGCAATGGTTTAATTGGAGAAACCTTAATTTTTGAGAAAAGATTAATCGATCAAATCCCGGTTGATTCAACGATTATAGTCTACTGTTAGTTTTATATTTTCTGAGGATTTTTATCTGAGTAACTGCCTGTGCGTGCCTTAGTTTGTAGTTTGTTCTTCAAAAGTTTTATCCTGATTGTAATCTGATTACTCATTGTTTTACTGTTTCATCATTCTCTCAGTTCCCTCATAGGTATCTGTAACACGGGTTTCAAATGTGATTTCAACCTTTACTATTCTTGTACGATTCGTTAGGGCCAAATATTTACTTTCTTCCAAGTCATTCATAGTTTCTAACTCAAATGATTCCGAGATGTGAATCTCACTAATCTCAAAACTTGCTCAAAAGTCCTGCAATTTTTATTTTCTCTTTTTCACATTTTTTTTTTGAAAAAAAAGGGTTTGTTTGCATCATCTGTAAAAATTCATTCAACTTCTCTACCTTTTGTAGAAGAAAGCTGTACTCTCATCCGCTCTTTATTGCCAGTCAATCTGTGTTGCCGTGTGATGTATATTTAATTCGAAAGAGATAATTTATATTTATGAATAAACATTTAATAAGTTTCTTTTGTTGTTATTAATCGTTTTAAACGATTTTACTTGGCTCCAAATTAGTTTGGTAAAGCAATTATGGCAATTAGGCATGTCAAGGTTTATTTGCTTTTGCATCGTCAATCGGTACTCCATGAAAGGAAAGTTGACAAGAAATTTGAGAATATAATTATGGATTATTGAATGAAACCATTCAGTAAGTCATGGATAAAACAAGAGTAAAGTCAATCCGAGACATATTGTTTAGGACTTCATCTCAAGAACTATTGGTGTACGAGGAGAGAGGGGGGGGGAGCATATTTGAAAAGATTAGCATATTGCGCTCTACGTAGCAGAGTTGAGCGGGAACGGTTTTTTTCATTGATTGTTTATCACCAGCACCAATCGGTTGAATCTATGTATGTTTGCTTGTGGTAATCCTTTTTCGTTCAGATCAAGTCCTGAATAATGACGAAATATTCGACAATCAAGAAGTAAGGCAGTTGAAGGGTTTCAATATAACAAAATCGAAAGCTGACAAAACGGTAAAATAAGTTTATCTAAGATAATACCATAAGTAGTTATTGTTAATAGGTGAAATCACCGTCTCACAAATCATTGAAAATGGGTAGAGGTCATAACAAGTAATCAATGTATATCTTGTTACAGGTAGTTTTCTCATTCTATTCTAACTCAAAGGCTCATTTTCTCTCATCGTCTCATCTCACATCTCATGTTTGTATTTTTCTTTCTTTTTCTTCAGTTGATTGTCTATTACCTACCTTGATTATGTGAAGATTCTTCTATATCCCATCTCTCTTTGTATTGTATTATATTTTTTGTCACCGACGACCTCTTATTATTCGTCTTCTATTCTCAAGAAACAAGGTCGTTTTGCTAACTGAACGGTTGAGCGTCAGTTCCTGATCGGCCATCATCCTCTTCATCATCGTTTTCCCCAGAATATGAAGAAAATGGTTTATTAACTATCATATTCCGGCCGAAATCCTCTCTGTTGTCTTCTTGACTGACATGGTATAAACAGAGTCTTACTCTCATAAGAAAACATTTTTTCTTTTTTCCTGAATATTCTAAGGATGAGTGTATGTCCTTGTACTCCCATCATTATTTCTCTTTTCGATTATTTTCCTCAATCCTCTCACGATTTTTTTGGGCCTTCTCTACTACTCTCTCATACATGCTCTTTTACTTATGAATTTGGACCAGTCTTTCTTAAATCGTTATAATAAGCTATATTCATTAGTTTCAGTGTACTTTTGATTAAACCTACCATGATTCTGTTATTCATTTCATGCTGCATCACATCAGGTAAACCGTATAAAATGACTTTGTATCTCAATTTCGCCTTTTAGCGCTCGCTGGAAGTGGAACCCTTAACGTAGCTCCAACTCGTCGAGTTGAAGACACAATTCCAGTTATTGAGATCAGGTAGTGTAATAATAAGCAATCTTACCTGTTCTTGTTTCAGAGGAGAAGGTAAACCTATGTCTTCTGCCCAAATAAGACATTTAGAAGAAATGAGTAATGGTGGAAAGCCTCTAGATATCAAGGTAACTAAATTCGCCATTGTTTCTTCTCAAAATGATATTTTACAGATTGAAAAAACTTTCATCCCAGCTAAGTGTCCTGTTCTTTCCCAACGAAAATATTTCGTAACTTTCCATTACAAGGTTCAGTATTTTATCGTATTTTCAATATTTCAACAACTCTTTGAAGGTATTTTTGGAGAATGGAAAGAAAATACATCAATCCTATGGAGGAGATCCTGTGAGAATTCAGATTGGTGTTGGAATGACATTGCCTGGGCTGGATAAAGTGAGTAAAACTATCTGACCATTCACGATGTAATTAATCTTCATCGCTTTCTTCAGGGATTAATGCAAACCTGTGCTCAAGAGCTGCGTAAGGTTTCCATACCCTACAGATTAGCACAAAGAAAGAAATCTAAGAGTTTGTTCAAGAAAAAGTATTTGTTCTATGTTTTGTTCAGTATGGAAAAACATTCCAACGGATGAGCATTGGGTTATCATTAATGCAGACATATCCGATGTAGAAGAGTACACTCATGATTTACAATTTGATTTCATGAACATGAATAACGATACCTATCTTACCGAGAATGATGTGAGTGAAGCTTGTAGTTTCTCATGATTTATTCTCTTTAGCTAATTGATTGGAGTGAGTGGATGAAGAAGTATGGAAAAGTTTGGAAGAATCCGGATATCGATAACGTAATTGCTGCGAGATACTATGTGAAGTAACATTCTTTCTGATAGAACTTTTTAAATATATGATTGAAGGTACTTCGATATTGATGGAGACGGCAAAGTATCGAGAGATGAGTTCAAAACTATAATGGATAGAGATGAGAAGATCATGGACGCAATCACTAAAAATAAAAAAATTTCTGGACGTCAACGAGATCCTGGATTTGCATGGATTCTCGACTTCAACAATGATGGAATAATAACGATGGAGGTATCTTCGTAAAGATCTCGGATCTATAACGCTGTTCTATTTAATTAAGGAAGACAATGAAGCTGATACCAAGCTAACAGATGATCCTGTTCTGCTCCCAACTGCTACCTCTAAAGATGAGCTTTAAAGCTATAAAAGGATTTTTTTTGTTCTTACTATTGTTTTTAATTGAAATAATTGGAGACACTACTGTTTCATCGGAAATTTCGCTTCCACTGTTAACAATGCAATTGATGACAAACTGTTTGTACAGCTGAGTGATGTTCCTATACTTGTGATTATTCCACCATATCTATATTTTCGCTTGCTAGAGAACATTGGCTTTTCATTTTTATTTCATATATCTGGGTTCTTCTCATTAAATCATTTTTATTACTACTCTTCTGTTCAGCACAAACTCTTTATAAGTTTGGGATGAAGATTATCCTTACCTTCTGTCTCTTGGCTATCGGATTTTCGTTTGCAGAAGAAGCTTCCAGCACGGTGTCATCCTTAGAAATATCAACAGAAATTGTATTTTTTTGTTTCGAGATTCTTATCCATTACTATTCGTAGGTAGACACATCTGTTGAAACAAGCACTGATGTTAACATCTTATCTACTGAGGAAAGGATTTTGACAGGTTTGCCAGTGATAAATATTCTGATCTGTGCCTCGTCTAGAATCAACGAAAAAAGAAGAGACTATTGTCCCATCAACAGTCAATCCCACGACAGAAGAATTTGAGAATACTTCAATTAAGACTGATACCTCTTCTGTTACTAAAACTTCGACAACTGATTTTGATGAACAAAATGAGGAAGACGTAGTAGATGACGATGATGAAGATAATGATGATGAAGATGAAGAAAATGAACATGATAATACTGATGATAATGATGAAGATTCCAAGGAGAATTCAAAAACTACTGAGACTCCTGATGTCAACATCAATAACCCTCTCGCTCTTGTGGGTGATAACACAACAACAGTTCCCACAGTCACTCCAGCTCTTCCACGTCCCCCGTCTTTCACGGCCGGTTCTTTTTTCAGTAATATTTTAGAACAAAGCTTCTGGTTTCAAATGAAATATGTTTCAGTTGGCCTACTCCTCGGGCTTGTTTTGTTAGCTGTTGCTTATTTCGGCTATGTGTACTACCAACGCAGAAAATCGTTACCTGCAGCCGGCTACAGGTCGTATCCTTAAGGTGGCTTTAGTAATACTTTAATGAATATTTTGCGACGAATTGAAAACGAAAACTTGCGAACTCTCAAATAATATTAAATAAGCGTGAATGTTTCATGTTTACAGAAATACTCTTCAGGCCACTGAGCCAAACAACATCTCTTCACATTGGACTTCCCAAGAACTATTCAACCGATGATGTGATAGATATCATTCAATCTATTCGTGTATTTTGATGTCAAAGACAGTTTTAAATTATTGATGATGATATATAAACAGTTTTAGTTTACGGAGGCTATTGCATTTGTAGTTTGTTCGTTGTGTGTTGGAGCTTGATAGAAGGATGTTGATTGATCTTATTTGTCATCTTATTCCCCTTTACGGAAGCATTGATCCAACTTTGGTGCACTCTAACTCCTGTTCTTCATTTTCATTCATTTTAATCTTTTTTTTGTTCTGTTGTGAGAGGCTTGGTTCATTAGCTGGCTTTGTGCTTGGAAAGTTCGGTGTGTGAGTGTTAGAAAGAACTGTAGAAGAAGGAAGTTACAACAATTATATCTTCCTGAGCTCCGAAAGTTATTATTAGAGCATCAGATCCTTCAACAAGTGAGCTATGAGGAGCAGGGGAGCTCATTATAAAAAATC